ATGGTGTCATTTTTCTGAAAATTTTGAAAATGTCCCAAGGATTTCATGAAGAGTACCCCCCACAAAAATTAAAATATTGGTTTCAAATTCGAGTGACCGCGACACCAGCCAGATCGATTGAGAAATATCAATTTTGTAGAAAATCGGTTGAACGGTTTAGCCGCTAGGGTTGTTCCCAGACGGAGTCAGACGATTTTTCGGCATCAAGGACCCACAAAACATGGATTCTGGCTACATCACGTGTTAGAGGACTTTTTTCTAAATTGAGTAACTGGATTTATCACCTTTTCGTTGCTAGGGCTGTGTAATAAGAGTTTTTCTGCCCCAAATTCGCAGTTGTTTCGCGCAGCATTACCTAACTATCTCTCTACTCTATAGCGAGAAAGTAAAACCTAAGGCAAATAATTCACCTCAACACGAGGACGCCTACAAGCGTTTCGGGTACAGCAATATCTTTGCGGATCTTTGCTTCAGGTGGCTTCAAGTGTGAGACGTCATGCCATCTCCCTGCTTTCCTACTTCCATGAGGTCGACTGTTGAGGAATGACATCGCAGAAGGCAACAAGGGTACCCCGAGAAGAAATGTGTGGGACGCTAAGCTAATTTTGTGGAGAACGGAGGAAACACGTGACAATCAATGGAAGGATATACAAGCCCCGCTGCAAATATGTGACTTACAAGAGGTGCACGGTGATGCTTTTTTGTTGTTGTCGCCGCAGCTGCTTTTGTCAGTTGTTGCTACAGCCAATTGTAAAATGACATAGGCGATGCCTGCTAGACAGTCTAGTCGGCAGTGAAGATGAGAAATAAGTACTTACCTTCTTTAATATTCTGGAAATCTTTTAATAGTAATAGTAATATATATATATATATATATATATATATATATATATATATATATATATATAGTAAGTATTGTTTGTTGATGTAAGGCAAAAAGGTCAAACGGGATGAATAATGAAGGAGGCAGATGTGCCAGACAGATAAAGGTTACCTCCAGCCCAACTTCAGACATTAGTGGAGCCCATGCCACGTCGTGTTGCGGCAGTTCTGCGTGCTGTGCGTGCCCTACACGATATTAGGCAGGCGTAACAGTTTTTTTGGCTCTTCAGTGTAGAGGTCATGCTGCAAAAGCTGCAGCGTGGAAAGAGCTACCGCCTCCCCCACAAACAGAAGGAATTTTTTAAGCAGAAAACTGTTGCACCCCCTGACACTTACGACAGACTGTCCCATTAGAATATTCAGCCCCCATAAACCAAATAAGTTTAATTATAATTGATTCATAAACGTTCTGCTCATTATTGTTGAATGATATTTAATATATTCTTTGTTTTGTTTATTGAAATTCCTGGAAAAGTCTAGAAAAGAATGTGAACGGCGGGCACCTGGTCAAACATTAGATTTTCTCAAAGGGACGTTTAATAGAAGAAGATCAGTTTCACGAAACTGCTATACACAAAGCATTTCTCATCAAAATTGTATAGGAAACATTTGTTCATCAAATTTCGAAGGCGGTGATTTTTTGTAAGTGCATGGCACGACTGCATGATATTAAATTAAATGATAATACAAAAAATGATGAAATTAAATGCATGATTAACTGAAAGGTAGATGGACTGCACATTGTTGCATACGTTTATGTGAAGAACAAAGATTGCCAAGGCAGGCGCCAAAAATAGCATTTTGCACTTTGGTAAATTGTGTGCGCACCCGACATCGAAAAGGTGCGCGAGCAATTCGGGCAGAGGTCGATAGGACGCAGGAATGTACTGCGTCCTGGCGACCAAGCAGCCTCGGCAATCGTGTCGCCGTCCAGCCTCCCAATTGGCTGCCCCTCCCGTACAGGGACGGAGATTGGGAGCCGGGGTAGGGAAGTGACGGGTAGTTTTGTTAGGAGGTTTGAAGGTGGGGGAAAAGGAGAGGAATGGATTTAGGAGGGGAATGGGATGGGATATAGGAGGGATTAGAAATATTTAGTGGTTGTCTTCGGTTCGAAGTGGGTCGGTATTGAGTCTGTTTGAGTCGTCTTTGTCGGTTCTTTTTGTTTCCACCCTTTGCCCTAGGTTAAGGGAGGAGGGAGTTGCAGGATGTCCAGGGGTGTTTTTTCCTAGTGTGTCGGGGAGGATTTCTGAGGATATAGTGGTGGGGTAGGATTAGGTTTCTGAACTGAGGATTGGTGATGAACGTTTGTAGGGTTTGTACAGAGGATTTGTAGAGGTGGGTAAGGATATGGGGCATTTTGTGTTGTTCTCGTAAATCATTGAAGCGGGTTAACGGAGGGGGACGGAAGATCAGACGGATTGCTCTGTTTTCGGTGACGGTTAGTTTTTGTAATTGATGATGGATGTGTTGATCCATGTGGGATGGGCCTAGGACACGCAATCTCTCCCAGTTGCAGCAGAGACTGTGCCGACGTCACTGCGCGTGACACGTCAGGGGGTGACCACGCACATCTACGTCGAGACCAAGCCCTCGCCGAGTCAACCTGGTGCCCCTCCCGTAACACTAAGGAGCGGAACCTGGACCGTCAGCCTCACACTTCAAGATTACTTCACGGCAACCGAACACTAACTTTGTATGTCTTTTTATTATGTGGCCTCACCATATGTGGACCCCTGTAAATTTATAGTCTCAAATAAACAGGTCTTTATGAAAGGTCTTCATTCTCATTTATAATTACACCACAGTAAAATAGATCTCGGAGTTCTTATACCTCTGGAATAAAAGTGAATGGTCTTTCTGCCTTGCGCTCGTAAGATATTTTCAAACCACTTCTGTAGAAACAAATTTCTCTCTCCCTTACTTCCCCCTCCCACTCATCCATCTATGCTAAAAACGTTTGGGCTACGTACTTGATTGAAATAATAAATTGTGGCGGTACAAAGATTGAGGGATTTTTTAAAATAAAATTTTAAGCAGTTCTTGCTAAATTATCATCATTTCGTAATACTAGGAAACGCGTAGTTCTTAAGGACGCTTCTCACGTCGCCTCCGCGTCGTGCTTCCGAACGCCGCGGTTTGTCCAGAGCATTGGTTTTAATGGAGAGCTTCCCACGTGCGGCGGGTTTACGCCGCTGCAGCGTTCGGCGCCGGACGCTCGCTACGAGAAATGCAAGAGGGCGTACGCTCCACCGCTAGCAGAACACATTACTTCGCCACCGGTAGCGGTTTTACGTGCTGCGGTCGCTTTGTTCGTCGTCGTCGGAGAGTCGGTGAAACTTCCCCCTGCAGAACCCACCCCCTTCCACGGCGGGCGGAAGTGCGGCCGTGGCGTGCAGCAGTGGCGGTGTCGGAAGAGCATTGCTGCCGTTTGTCGGAAAGGTGGCACCGCTTCTGACGAAGTGGGAAGGCGCCCTTAGGGCGCCTACCCACGTCGCGACGGCGGCGCGCTTGCGTCAAACAGTAGAGCCCTTTCGACGTCGCCATCTCAGCAGTCACGGCCGCACCGCCGTCCGCAGCGGAAGGGGGTGGGTTCTGCAGGGGTAAGTTTTGCCGACCCTCCGGCGACGTCGAACAGAGGGACCGCAGCAGGTAAAACGCAGCGACCGGCGGCGCAGTGGGAAGGCTCTCCACTTCGCGTAGCTAGAGTTCTCCGCCGCTTGCCGCAGCAGCGCCCGCCCGCCGCACGTGCGAAGGTCTCCTTTCAAACCAATGCTCTGCTACGAGCCGCGGCGCTCGGAAGCGCACCGCCGACGCGACCTGTGAGGGGGCCCTTAGGGTGAGGAGCGCGCCGTTCCGAGGACCGAGAGGGCCCCCTTCTCTCATCCCCCCCTCCGGCCCAAGGGAACATTCCAGACACGTGCCCGTCGCTGCACCCGCCGCCGCTCCCTCGGATTACGTGCCTGGCCCGAACCTACTTCCGCTCTCACTTCTCACCCCCACCCTCGACCCTCCGAGGCGCTCCGAACGGGCGTGGATGGCGTTGCACAGATGAAAATCCACGACTGCCACGGACGAGAATTATGAGAAGGATGGATAAATAAATAATCCCACCTGCGTCGTACTCAGCTGCAAGGGCTTGTAGCAGCATTTTTGGACAGAGAGGGCACTAGGAACATAACCACTCTGGAACATTCGAGTCGCCAGCAGTGATTGGCTAATAATCCTTAAATGCGCAATTGGTTTTGACCATTCGCAGCGCGTAATCTGAAGGGCAGGGAGGTCGAGGGACCTGACTCTCAGAGGCGGAGAGCAGCGACGGGGAGACGCGAAGCGACTGCGGAGTTGGGTGGATCGCAGAGAGACGCGACATGACGGCCGAGTTGAACGGGCCGCGGAGGAAAAGCTCGCGTTCATGCTCAGTGTGATTGTCCTACTCGGGACTTGTGATTTTTAACCGAATTGGAAATACGCACGATAAAGTCGGATCGTCAGCTGCGAGAGTGGCGATTAGGCACACATATGTTATAATTTTGATAGCCAGGCTTGTTACTTTACACCACCATAAAGCTCTTATCCTTATTTACGAAACGAAGTTCTATGAATTATTCAAACACTGCCGTTTCAATTAAAGACAGATAGATTGAAGAGTTCAACAATGACTTGGGTGTGACGTGTGGTGTGGATCTGAAATCGACCGTGCTCCGCCGTCTGCCGCGAATGGCCGACGTCGCTGGGTCTCTGTCAAGAGGTCCCCCCGCCACGTGACCGTCTGGGAAGCCACAGAGCAGGGACCTGCCTCCCCTAGTGGAAAACAGCTCTGACGGGTCAATGAACCCCGCCGCCGCAGCACTACTCCGCCGGCGCCTAAGAATACGATGAGGGCTTTCGGTATCCAACCGGGCAAAGGTGCGCGGCGCTGGTGTAACGGTTAGCGTACCGGTCTGTTGTACCCAAGTTGGCGGGTTCAAACTAGATCGAAGCCATGGGTTTTTAAGGGCGAAAAAAAACCTTTGTACGCCTTCCGGGGAAAGTAAAGCCGTCTGTTCCGTGTTGGTAGATTTACTTGCATGTAAAAGATCCTCAAGCCTAAATGACGCCTCTGAGCTAAATTGAAATCGCCTGTTTCTGTCCCAAGAAATACCTCCTTGCTCTGCTAGTTGGTGATAGGAGCGTAGCGAAATTTGCGTGGTCAGACGGAAGAGGCCTGAAACTCGCCACGTAAAATAAGGCGTTAATTCAATTCAAAGGTTTCAACAGCTCTTCAAGCGACTTAGAGAAACAAAAGGCTCTTTGTAACTACAGAATGAACAGGAGCAATTAATAACAATTTATATATGACTTTGTGAGGCCGCGCTCTGGCCCTTTAATTTTCTATAGACTTAAATTTCATAGCGTAGTTATAAATTCATTTTGATATTAACTCAGGTAATGAGCTCATTGAAATTCACATTATTGTAATGTTCAGTGAGTAAATTAAAACTATGTTTAAAATTCTGACTGAAATAAATGTTTTTGTTACATTTTCAACACCTCTCCATTCCATTGACCTAAAATAAGGTGCCAGCTGAGCTAGCTGGCACCCCAAAACGACGTCACAAAGATCAGTACTTTGTCCAAAGTATTCAACATGTTTTTTAATGCCTGGAATTAAATCTTTATGAATTAATAAATTTTGAGAAATACATTTCCTTTATTTTCACTGTAACATTGTGAATACATAAAGGTATAATAACACTAATATACAGATCATTCATATTGTGAAATTAATATACAATGCAAATGAATAAAAACCACGTATATAAAGTGTGTATATAGTGTTATGACTACAAATACATGTTATGTATAATAAAACATGCATGTTGATTTTTTGTGCAAAAATGACAAAGATCAACTTTTGTGTCACTATATCATTTAGACCTAAATACGACGCAGTGTAACTTATGTAACACTTGCGTACATACACCAGTAACAATAGAAAATATAAATTATAGACTTTCAGAGGTTTTGAGATTGTTGTTAATGCATTTGGAATTTTGGTACGGATTCTGACTTTTTGGAATTGATAATGAGTACTAGGAGGGGTTTACAAAATTACATAAAATTTGATATTTTTACATATCAGATGATTTTTAGGTGTTTCCCGCATATCATATGTATTTGTAGTGGTACAAAATAATATTTTGTGTTCTTAAAAATATGGAATATGCAATAATGTCTTTGTTAAAATTCGAATTTTAGGAGTTCAGCTAAATCATTCTGATATAAATATAGATATTTTGCCTCAGACACTGTTTTGATGGAATGCTGTATCTGAATGACAAAACGTGTTCAGAAAGTAAATGGAACTATCTTAATTGTGCTTATTTGACACGCCATCATTGCTGATGGTGATAGAGAGCCGCCTGATGTTGGGTTTGTCGTACTCTTCCATGCTCATGCCCCGGGACAGGCGGCGAGGGCCTCCTTCACCATCGAAAGATCCTCCGGAAAAGGCACGCTGTCTGTCCACTCCTGGCAATGTGAGGGACGTGAGCAACCCTTGCCCTTTGCAGAACAGCAGAATGCTCTGGGCTACTTTGTATGGCTGTAACAAATAACAAGAAACAGATTACACGAATGTCGTTCAAGGTAAACTGGGATATTATTTTAAAGAGACCAATGTGGCATGACAGAAGCATTTGTTTACAATTGTGACCAGCCCCAAAAGTCTTCTGTCACAGACACATGCCGCTCTACTGTCAAAATGAACATAGCCATAATACCACTAGTGCTATTACTACTACTACTGCTACTACTACTACTACTACTACTACTACTACTACTACTACTACTACTACTACTATTACTACTATTACTACTACTATTGCTGTTGCTGCCGCTACTGCTACTACTACTGCTACTACTGGAAACCCGCACAAACATTCCACAGCACAGACAAATCAAGGGTAAGCTTCAAAATAAAAACCAAAAAAGTGTGACAACGTTACCTTGCACGAAATAGGTATAGAGGAGTTACTCTAAGAAGGGCCCACTTTGACAGATCGGGAAACAAATGAACGTCACTCAGGGGGTTGACATTGCAAGAGATGGTGATGAAGCCATTTACAAACGAGCTGCTGAAAACGAATACTCTGGCAAAATGAGAGCATGGGAATAACCTTCGGTATTTTGACAGCAATGGCCTAGCAGTTGCTTAAAAAACGGTCCCTTCTTATAGTAATCTCACTACATTTGTACCCCTATACTGAAACTAATACCATGGCTGTGCCTGTCGTGACGTACTCCTTGTGAGTCGTTGAGTGAATAAATTTTGGCATAGAGAAGATGGAGAGGTAAGAATCCAAGCTCAATGAAGAGAGGCTTGCAGGAATTACGTGGATGGAGTTTGTGGATTTTTATTCACATAATTTTTCTCTCAAATATAAAAGTTTGGATACTTTAGGATGAGCTTCTCAGAATATTATGCCATATCTGAGGTGGGAATGTACGGATAATTTGCAAAGTACAAACAACGAACTGCAAGAGGGCTGACAGAATTTGACAGAATTATGAATGCGTAACATAATGAATTTAATTTAGTGGTTAATTCAGTTACATGGATATTTCATTTGAGATTTGAAAAAATGAGAGACCCAGAAACTTTGTAACCTTAACTTAGCCAATTGCCTATTGTAAATTTTTACTGTCGTGTATCATTTGACCGGTTTGAAATGCAAAAATGCAAATGAAATAGTTTTTCCTTTTTTGTTGTTATTTAAGGTCGCATCAACTTCTAGGTAATTAGCGACCTCTTGCTTGTAACGGTATGGTAATTGTAAGGATGACACAATGTGATGATGATAGGAGGTGAAAGGTTGAACACAATACAACCATGCTCAAGGCGGGACACGAACCCGCGATCCTTCGGTCCGAGATCGCTACGGCACTACTGCCTTCTCGGCTACCGGATCGGCAGTTTTTCCTTTGTTAACTAGTATTAATTTGTTATTACGAAACCAATTTGAAACTTCTCAAATATTACTATTTATTGTTTCTATTGTTGAAAGAACTTTCGTGCCATCACCAAAGTTCTTCCGTTTTGGTAATTCTAAAAAAATGTTCTTCTGTTTCGAATCGACGCGAGCATATCGTTCACGTATAAAAGAAAGAGGAAATGCACTAAAATCGAATCTTGCGGGGCCCCATGTCCAATTGGCAAAGAATTTGAAAGATGAGTAAATAATGTTATTTCAGGTCAGAACGGTATTTCTACTCTTTGCGATCTATGTTTAAGATTCGAGGATATCCAAATTTGGGATATATCACGAATTCCATATGGATGTAATTTTGAGAGAAAAACGAGGTCAGAGGTCAATAGTGTCAAAGGCTTTCGAAAGATCTAAAAACTTTTCAACAGATGCTTCATTTTTAACAATGATGAACCAATTCCAATATCTTCAAAAAACACAGCAGTCTACGTAAATTTTATTTTTCTATATCAATGTTGAGAATCTGTAAACGTTTCATTTGCCCGGAGAAATGTTTCCGTTTGCAAATAGAAAAGTCTAATTCTTTAAACACATTTTCGTGAGAACTGACAAAACAAAAAATAGCCGATTGTTTTGAATTATAATATTCAAAAATCATTTTTGACGGAAAATATAAATGAGCATATAAATAAAGATATGAAAAGAAGCTCTTAACTCACAGCCTGAAGTAAAACATCTCCAGCACGTTCAATTTTGAGAAGTGTTGCTTTAGTCTTGTCCATATCACGATGTAGTTTCTCCACAACATGTGCGTATGAACTGAGCAAACCCGTGATGAGAAGCACATCAGTTTTGCAGGTTTTCAGGGGCAGGTCTTTGCGCCTATAAAAAACGTTGAACAATATAAAGTTATTGGTAGAAATTTATTTGCACATATAAAAATGTGGAATGCAACCTTTAAAAATGTTATGAATGCATTATAACACATGAACATCCACCAACGTACCCCAAAAAAGCATTGACGTATAACTTAAGATTCTTGTTGTTGATCGTCCCTCGCAGACGAGACTGGAACTCTTGCATAACTTTCTCTTTATCAGGATTGGAGTCATTTACCAATTGCTAAAAGCAAGAAGGAAACGTTAATATAAATACATTAAATACGAAATTAAATTATAGGCCTCAATGTGTGGATAGCCAGGTAAAACCGAGGGTAAATAGGATTGAATGAAAGTTTCATGATATGTATAATATGGTGACAAATGTAAGCACACAAAATGAAAGTATTCAAAGGGATAGGAAGCTTCGTAAATGAAAGTCAGAAGAGAAAACAATATATAAAAGGAAATCAATGATAACTAAAGAAGTTGTGACAAAGTATAGAAATAAGTTTTATTTATTTATACCGCTTATAATCTCAGGTTTTACTTACAATAAAGAAAAAAAAAACAGAGTGAAATATACAAATTATTAAAACTATTAATTAAACATACAAATTATTAAAAATTATTCTAATTATCATTAAAGGCCAAATTTTCAAAAAATCGCACTATGTATTACATTGCTATTTATATTTCAGATTTCATTAATGCAGGTTTCACCAGCATCGTCGAAACTTGAGCAAATGTTCATTCTCTTGTGTCGCAACACATTCACGTCAGTTACTGTTGTCATCTTTCAAGATATTTATTGTTCCAGGGTAGATCAGTACGTGCGGCCGCCGTTTCTGATGATGACAGTCTTCCTAACGGGATTTATACTAATGTTAGAGAAGTCCCCTTTCCAGCTTTAAGTCCTTTTTGTTGTGGACATCAATCATTTGTATGAGATGTTACACCAAACATCACGTGTCTTACGTTGGTTTGTTGTTGAGAAATAAGTGATTCAACAACATTGAAAGATAGTTCATAGTGTCATTAGCATAAAATGTCACAATAATGTTATTTATTGTACACAACAAATTTATGATAGACTTCTTGTGAAAAGTTACAAATTGGACAAATTTGTCCATAAGCAAAACCCGAGAACGTATTAATACATTTCAATTAAACCTCTCTATTGTAAAACATACTGCATTTTAATGTATAATTTCAGTTTCCAAAATTTAAAAAATCATGAAATTAAGTTGTAGGTGGTAAAGGGTTCTCTTATCGTTAATTCTTGTTTCAACTCATTCATTAAGTTCGTTGTTAATTCAATAAGTTGACTTTATGTCTAATACATTTATTTAAAGCAATTGGCTTTCGTCAGAGAAGGTTCAATGTTTAAATTTTCTGACATGCAAACTTCGTTAATTTTGTTTATATTATCATCTTATTTCATGTCAATTTTCTCTCAATTGCTTTTCTGGAATTTAGTTTTTGTGGGTTGGCAACTTCAACACTCATTGCGACGTCGTGGAATGACATGACACAGACATGTTATGGCATATACAAGTTTATTTACAAATATTTCCATGGATCCATTGCTAGTCGGTCATTGCTTATTCCATATGCCACGCTCGTGTCTCTACTGTGCTCAGTTGTTCGTTCGTGGAACCGTAAGAGGCCCCAGAGCAGGCCTTCACAACGCCTGCTCCGGCGGGCATTCTGCACTTACGAGCCAGCCGGCTGCCTGCGAGAGCTGCCAAAGCGCAAGTAGTGGGATGTAGGCAGCGTTGGAGGGAGGGGAAAAGCGCGATTGGGGTCGACGCGGCGCGTAGATTCAATGCCTGGACGCCTAATGCAATAGTGCGTGATCTTGGCTGTCCGAGTGACGCCGCGTCGAAGGCTGTGTTGCTGACGTTTCGACCATCTTGTCGTGGTGACTGGCCGCTGAAGCCTACGACTTCATTCGCCTAATGCAATTGTCCATACTGTGAAATGATTTCCTCACCTGTTTAAATGGAAAATCTACAATATTTCTAGCTACAAGGGCTATATTTCATTGTTTATGTTCTTGTATGTACTTCTATGTATCCACATTTTTTAAATTTTTTAGTTTGTGCTCATTGTAACTCACAAACAATACAAAAAGTGTCCTCTTTAAAAAATGTATTATGTTATTTAAACTAAAAAATTACCATGTAATGCTTTATTTTTCACCAAACATGACATTATCTCTAAAATATAGGAAAATGGAGGAAATTGAGAGCAGTCTCTCACATCGAGATTGATATAAAAATTGAATATAGGCAATTGCAAGGGTAAAGTTTGGCAGCACATTTATTTGTGATCATTTTCCCTCATTAGGAAGCTGAATAAGAGATACAAACGAACAAACTTCTTTTCCGATATTTTACGTGCAATCATGACTTTATTATGAAACTTGTTAAATAGAACGCAAATGGCTTAATATTTTTATACGATTATGAATAGTGTTATAGAAATTAGAGGAGAAAGTAAACCTGATTTTATAGGAACAAGATTTTTTAACTAGTCAATTAAATATAGGTAATGAAAAAATAATTTATTACAGTCATCATCAAACAAAAAAGATTCGATATTACAATTTTGTATTTAGTAAATTTGCGATTACATCATAGCGTCAAAGCAAATTACATTATCAGCCCTTCATGCACTTATAATACTGGTACGCCAATCAAAAATGTAGTATGTCTAATTCGTTTAGATTCACATTGACATACATTTTCATTTTACCTACAAACTTTTTTTAAAAAAAGGTAATGGATCTTGAACTGTATGTAACAGTTCGTCATTCTCGCAATTGCTCTTTCAATTTACGCGCTACGATTCGAATTGCGAATTCTCATTGGCGGTCCCCACTCCTCGAATGAGTCTTATCCCCACCCATCCACGCGGCCCGGGTTTGCACTCAAGTTGCTCGCGCGTGGCTCTCGGGGTCAGTCAAAGTGCAAAATGCTGTGCACGCCTGCCCAGGGTATTCGCACTATGCGAACTGAGCCCCCCTTGCGTCGCGCGACATGCCCTGCAAGAGGCCCCCAATTACAACATTTGCTGTACTTCGCATCGTTTGTACAGTTTTGTGAATGCACTAATTGCGCAATGGAGTACGTTCAAGCGTACCTACTGCGGGCTTTTGAAGAATAATTCTGTAAAAGAAAAGAAAACAGAGGCCAGAAAAGATATTTGTTTTTTACTGATACGTTATTGCTTGTTATTGTCATCGATACGGAGTTCAATATGCTCTGCATAATTTACCTGAATTGAGAGGATCGTGGTTACGAGGCAAATATGAACACATTTGAATGATGCTACACGTTCTCTTACGGACGGAATTATGAGAAACAATTATGAAATAGAATTATGGAAGGGAAATATGAAAAGACAAACCGAGTCAAGATGACATTTAGTTAAATAGCAAATAAATCTGAATCATTAAAATTAGGTAAAAATAAAATATTGTTTGTGTCATGCGCGTTAACTAGTTCTAATGATCTCGGGCGTTTTGTCGCCGCTTTATCATTAGAACCCTTAAAACACTCTTAGTGCATTTTAAACTTCGCTTATGCGCTGAACTGAATGTTTCGCGTACAAAGCATTGCCCACCCCCCTTTGAACATTTTGTAAATACGGAAAACTATGAAAAAAGTACTAACAATAAAAGTAAAAATCATCCTTGAGGATAATCTAAAATATACTTTACATAAAACCCATGGGACATTTTCCGCATTTCCAAAAAAAGGGTCCATCATTTTCTATTAAACTTTGTTGAATAATGTGAAGGACGTTTACGAGAATGGTTCAGGTCTCATGTTCGCTGAAAAGCCCTAATTTTCCGAAACTGCAAAAGTTCAAACCTTTTTGGGAGTCTTCCTACAACTGAAATAATAAAGATAGAGATTTTTTCCTTATTGAAATCTGTTCTTCAAAGATAGATTTTGAAATAGAGTCAAGTACAATTTTCCGAATATTTTAGTACTTTTTGCGTAATTTTGCGTGGAAATATGGGGAAGAAAGTACGTGCTGTATTACTACCACTAGTTTTATAATGCAACATGTTCGAAATTTTAGGCAGGAATAGAGAAAAGTGCGCTTAATATAACACCGCTACATATTTAAAAAAAATCATCTAAAATGAAGAAATTTGCAAACCTACTATCTTATTTCATATCTTTTGTACCTGTCCCACACTTTCAATATTAAAGTTAAAGATTTATTTCTTAATGGATTCTATTCCTCAATGTTATATCTTTAAATCTTTTAATATACAGTTAAAAGTGTTTTTGCGATTCGGAATAGTTTTCGCAATTTTTTGAAATAATTTTCTTAGGTTTCGGAATGAACGAAAAAATGAGAACAGATGCGCATTCAGCTGCTATGTTAAACACATCAAGTACTAACGCGCTGATGTGGTGAACTGAATGTTTCGCGTACAAAGCGTTGCCCACCCCTTTTGAACATTGTGTAAGTACGGAAAACTATGAAAAAAGTATTAAAAATAAAAGTAAAAATCGTTGAGGATAATCTAAAGGATAGGGCCAAAAATGTATAATTTTACCATTTGGAATAGGCAAAAGATAGAATGTGATGAAATGCTGCAAAAATTCTAGGTCGTGATTTTGATTTCGATACCCTTGATACCAATAGTTAGCTCGATATGGTCGACTCGGTCGTCTCGGCAGCTCAATAATTAGATACATTGAACGTAAACGAGAAGATCCAGGTTCGTTTCCCGGTCAGAGCGACTAATACTCTGAATTGATATGTGAAATGATTTGGCGAGGCGCGACTGTTAGGCAACGCTCCGGGCAGCGGGGCGAGCTGGCATCGCTGGAGTCACGCTCTAGGCGGCGTAAGACATTTCCTGGATTTGTAAAAACAATAGGCGCCGGAAATTGCAGGTGTGTGGATGCGGAATGCGGAGGGTCGCCGGCGGAGGGTGGCGACGGGCGCCGGCTCGGCGTGAGGATCGGGGTCACGTGGCACCGACGGCCCAGGAACTTGTTGACAGCGACGGCAGGCACGTGACGATTGGGTATGCAAGGAGGCTAGACGTGTAGGAATCTCCGTAAAGAGTTACAATATTCGACAGGAGTGGCGCCCATTATTCTGCCTCGGCTTATCACAGTTACACTTTTAACGCTGATGTTATGTGTCTACACACGCCATGTTATGTGGCTTGCGTCCACAAGGGGACGATTCGGGATGAATAGTTAGGCT